TCCCAGAGACAACCCCACACACACAGCAAGATCCCAGAGACAACCCCCAACACACTGCAAGATCCCAGACACAACACCCCCAACACACTGCAAGATCCCAGCGACAACCCCCCACACAGCAAGATCCCAGAGACAGCCCCCACACACAGCAAGATCCCAGAGACAGCCCCTACACACAGCAAGATCCCAGAGACAGCCCCCACACACAGCAAGACCTCAGAGACACCTCCCACACACAGCAAGACCTCAGAGACACCTCCCACACAGCAAGACAACCCATGGGGAGGCAATGGCTCAGTTATGGGGATCTGGGATCGAATCCTGCCACGGCAGATGGTGGAATGTGAATTCAATAAAAAAAAATCTGGAATTAAGAGTCTAATGATGACCATCAATCCATTGCTGATTGCTGGAAAAACCCATCTGGTTCACTAATGTCCTTTAGGGAATCCTTATCCTATCTAGCCTACATGTGACTCCAGACCCACAGCAATGTGGTTGACTCTTAACTTCCCGCTGGCAAATTAGGGATGGGTAATAAATGCTGGTCTGGCCAGCGACGCCCTCATCCCCTGAAGGAATTAAAAAGATCCCAGAGACACTCCCCCAACACAGCAAGATCCCAGAGACACTCCCCCAACACAGCAAGATCCCAAGATTCGCAACAAACAACTGCACCTCCCAGTTGCAAACCATGTCCATCCTGGGCCTCCTGCAGTGCCATTACGATGCCACCCGAAGGTTGCAGGAACAGCAACTCATATTTCGCTTGGGAACCCTGCAGCCCAATGGTATCAACGTGGGCTTCACAAGCTTCAAAATCTCCCCTCCTCCTAACGCATCCCAAAACCAGCCCAGCTCGTCCCCACCTCCCTAACCTGTCCTTCCTCCCACTTATCCCCTCCTCCCACCTCAAGCCCCACCCCCATCTCCTACCTACTAACCTCATCCCACCCCCTTGACCTGTCCATCCTCCTTGGACTGACCTATCTCCTCCCTAACTCCCCACCTACACTCACCTTTACTGGCTCCACCCCCACCTCTTTGACCAGTCTGTCTCCTCTCCACCTATCTTCTCCTCTATCCATCTTCTATTCGCCTCCCCCTCTCTCCCTATTTATTTCAGAACTCCCTTCCCCTCCCCCATTTCTGAAGAAGACTCTAATCCCGAAACGTCAGCTTTCCTGCTCCTCTGATGCTGTTTGGCTGCTGTGTTCATCCAGCTCTACACTTTGTTATCTAAGATACCAGAGACATTCCCCCAACACAGCAAGATCCCAGAGACACTCCCCCAACACAGCAAGATCCCAAAAATAACCTGCTCCAAACACATCAAGATCTCAGAGATATCCCCCCCCACAACACACCAAGATCCGTGAGAACACCCTGCCCTGTGCAGCAAAATGAAAGAAACCCCCGGAGTGTGGTCCCGGAGACCACCCCCGCAGTGTGATCCAGGAGGAATCAGTTATACTTTAACAATCACAGAACAGTGTTTGTGGTTTGAAAGGGATTTTTGGGAATGGACAACATCCACTGAAGTTTGGAATCAAACCTTAGTGTAATACATTCCAGAGGAGTGACTACAGTCAGCATTATTTCTGAACTCACACAGATTGACCACTGGAAACCAACAGCCAATGAGCAGAACCATGCAACACCCCCAAGCTCCAGAACCAAGCACCACACTGGCTAGACCCAGGGCAGCGGCAGCACAACATGAGGTGGGGGCACAGGGACTGCCAGGCAAAGCTGACAATCTCCGGAGGACTCTGCTAACAAGAGAACCTCGACTGGACTTGTGGAGTTTGTGGATTTGGGGTTTTTGCAACCAAGGCGGACAGCGTGCTCCCAACATTGTACTCCATGGCGCTCAGATCTCACCCCCAGCAAAACCCCACTCTGGGCCCCCTCCTGCCAGGGTGCTGGACTTACCCCGCTCCCTCACAATGAGGTCAGTGCACAATATGCACATGTGCAAACTTCTGCATCCAACGGTGATGTTGGATCCACAAACCCAGCCAAAGGTAGGACCGATGGAGGAGGTGGGGGATGGCTGGGTTATTCATGTTTCTGTACTCTCCTTCTGCTTTTTGTACTTGAACTATATAACATAGGTGCATAATATCACAGTAGGCCATTCAATGAGATCATGGCTGAATCTAATAATTCTCAACTCCACTATCCTGCCTTTTCACCCTTGATTCCATCACTGATTAAAAATCTGTCTCTCTCAGATTCAAATATACTTGACAACCTAGCCTCAACAGTGCTCTACGGTAAAGAATTCCACAGATTCACTACCCTTGGCGAGAAGAAACTCCTCGTCATCTCTGTTTTAAATAGACAAACCCTTTTACAAGGCTCTCTGTTTCTAGATTCTCCAAGGGGACAAACTTTTCCATTTCTACCTTATAAAGCCCCATAAGGAACTTGTCTGTTTTAATAAGAGCACCTCTCATTCTTCTAAACTCCAATGAGTACAGGCCCAACCTACTCAGCCTCTCCTTCCAAACTGGAGATCAAACTACTAAAGATTCTCTGGACTGTCTCCAATGCCACTGTACTTTTCCTTAGATACAGGGAACAAATCTGTTCACAGTATTCCAAGTGTGGACTAACTAGTGCCTTATATAGTTTTAGCAAGACCTCCCTGTTTTTATAACAGCAAAATATTGTGGATGCTGAAAATCTGAAATGAAAACTGAAAGTGCTGGAGAAACTCAACAAATCTGGCAGCATCTGTGAGGAGAGAAACAGAATTAATGTTTTGAGTCCGATATGATTCTCCTTCAGAACTAAAAGGAGTTGGAAACAATGGATTTTAGATATTTTCTATATCAACCTGTTCAGGAATTTTATTTCTCTGGAGCAGATTGGACTTGAACTCAGCTCTTCCGGCCTAGAGTTATGGACACTACCACTGCACCAAAAATATCTAGCAGAAAGGAAGGAGCAGCAAGCAGAACAGATTGTGAGGTGCCTAGAACAAAAGATAAAGGAAGTGCTAACAGAGACAAAGAGATAGAGATACCCATCAACTAGACCTATTTTTGTACGAAAGGAGAGAATGGGTGGTACGTTCTGCTGAGCCGACAGTTAATGAGAAAAAAAACTGGTCATTGCTGGGAAGAGGCCTTGTAATGAAAACGCGTGACAACTTCATTTACAACGTCAAAGGTTGACCTCTGAGCTCCAGTTAGATAGCAAAGCACCTTGCCCACCAACTTAGCTGGGTCAGCTGTGACCTGATTGAAGAGTCATATGGGACTTGAACCGTTAACTTGGTTTTGCTGCCAGACCTGAGTTTCACCAGCACTGTGTTTATTCCTTGTTTTTATGCTCCATTCCATTTGCCTTCCCTATCATCAGCTGAACTTGGATGCTAGCTTGTTGCAATGCGTGAATGAGGACCCACCAATACAGTCTGCACTGCAGCTTTCTGCAGTCTGTCCATTTAAATAATATTCAGCTCCTCTACTCTTCTACCAAAGTGCATAACCTCGCAATTCCCTACATTATATTCCAAGACGTTGCCCACGCCCCTAACCTGTCTATGTTACTTTGTAGGCTGTGTCATCCTCATCACTTGCCTTCTCACTTAGTTTTGTGTTATCTGCAAATTTGAAAATATTACATTCCCATCCCTCGTCCACGTGATTGAAATATATTGTAAAAAAAATAATACTGGCCCTTTCCAGGGCCTGTCAGAGATGGTCAAGCCTTTGATGATGTTCCTTCTCCAGGGCAGTAGATTCCCACGCATATTTTCCATGATGAAACTTGGAGCAGAAAGTGCATTTTGAGACTTGCATCAGGCCTGGACAATGTGGCCTGCAAACTGCAGCTGACTGACCATAACCAATGCCTCAAAAAAAGGGGAAATTGGACGGTCGAAGGATGCTGACATTAGAGCATCAATCCCGTCGATGGATATGCAGGATTTCACACAGGCATTACCATTGATATTTCTCAACGGATTTGAGGTGTCTGCTGTAAATTATCCATATCTTCGGACAGGTAACACTGGTGCTGGCTTTGAGGTCTTTGTCATCAAACACTGCTCTTCTGGCCATTGGAAGCAAAGTTAAATGTCATTATCAATATCTGTCCTCACAGGCAGCACATTCCAGATCCTAACCTCTTGTCATGTGAAAACGTTAACTCTGATTTCACCTTGCTTCTTTTGTCAATCACATTAAATCTGTGCTCTCTTATTTTCGAACGTTCCATCAGTGGAAAGTTTCTCTCTATTTACTCTATCTGGATCCCTCAAGGCACCTCTGCAAAATTTCTCTCAACTTTCTTCTCTCCAAGTAGAACAGTGTTCAATCTATCCTCAAAACTGAAGTTTCTCATTCCTTTAAATCACTTCTGCATTTTGCCCAATGCATTTACATCTTTCCTAAAGCATGGTGCCCAAAAATGTACACAATACTCCAGCTGGAGTCTTTTTATCTACATGCATTTTCTCTATCTGTCCTGTGACCTTCAGTAACTTTTATTCATGTAAACCCTGGTCCCTCTATTCCTGAATCTGCTTTAGCATTGTATCCTTTATTGAAACCTAAGTATAACGTGACAAATCTTGGCATTAAATTTCACCGGCTATGCGATTGCCCATCCCACCAACCTCTCACTGTCCTCTGGACAAAATCGAAAGAAGTGTACGACAGGAGATGTTCATGGAGGGAATTCCAGAAATTCTGCCAAAATACAGCTGAAAGCATGGCCACTAATGGTGAAGCAATTAAATTCAGGATTCACAAAGGACTGAACTGAAGGATCACAGAAGGTTATGAGGTTTCAGGCCACAAGTATGGCAGGCTGCAAGGTCATGGAGGCATCCATCCTAAGGTAATAACCTGTGATAATAACCATAACTTAGTGAGATTGAAAATCAAATCCTTCATAGCCACGAAAGGTGCCAGAGGACTGACGCAGCGCTAAGGTGGTACCATTATTCAAGAAGGTTGGTAGAGATAAACCAGGGAACTATAGACCAGTGATTCCAACATTAGTGGTAAGGAAACTATTGGAAAAAATTCTGAGAGACAGAAATCATCTCCAGTTGGAGAGGCAAGGATGGATTAAGGGTAGTCAGCATGGCTTTGTCAGGGGCAGATCACATCTGAAGTGTTTGATTTGAATTATTCAAGATGAATATATATGTGGATGAGGGCAATGCAGCTGATGGAATCTATATGGACTTTAATAAGATTTTTGACAAGGTTTTGCATGGGAAACTGGTCAAGAATATAATTATATTAATAATATACGGTCATGGCTGATCATCCAATTCAGTACTGTTAAGATATGGATAACAAGCAAAACCCAATCAGCCCTACTATCACTGGACACACAACACGTGAAACTAAAATATTCAATGACCCTGAGAATTGCCCAATTGTTCCTAATAAGATTTTATGAATAACAAATCTTGAACACCAAGTTTATAACTTAATTAAAAATTATTAACAATTTATCAAGACTACAACTTTGGCAGGGCAAAGCTAAACAAGATAATCTAATCAATACTGTATTTATGATTTAAACGCCAATCTTCTTTGATCATAAAACCCAATTCACACAGAAACAGACAGACATAGTTAAGGGATAAATTAAAAAGAAAATAAAAGAATTATAATTTGCTAGTTCAGTTAAACAGTTTTGAATGATGAATACCAAGTCTTTGTGCAATCCTTGAATAATGAGTTCTTCACAGGCACGTAACTGTAAATCTAATTTCAAAATCACCAGTGAATACGAATAGTTTCAGTAGACTTCCAGAAGTATTTACTTATTTCTTACAATCTTCTCTCAGAACATTGAATAATTCTTTAACTGGATACAAAACTTGAGATACTAAGAAACAGCAGCCAGTCCTGAAGCTTCAAAAATCACTCTGCACCTGCTGGTTAGCCTCTGTCATTCCTTGATTGACCAACTCAAGATCGAACTGAACGCCAGGTGGAAGAACTGTTATGCTGAAGAAGTGGGAGACTGCAGAAGGACTTACATGCCAGGCGAATGGCTAAAGAGGTGGCAGATGAAATACAATGTGGGAAAATGTAAGCTTACACAGTTAGGAAGAAGCGTCATAAACTATTTTCTAAATGCGGAAAGGTTTAGGAAATCTGAAGCACAAACTGGGAGTCTTAGTTCAGGGTTCTCTTAAGGTTACCATGCAGGTTCACCTGGCAGTTAGGAAGGCAAATACAATGTTGGCATTCATTTCAAGAATGCTACAATCAAGAGCACAGATACACTGATATGGTTGTACAAGATGCTAGTCAGACTGCATTTGGAATATTGAGAGAGTTTTAGGACCTGTAACTAAGGAAAACAGTCCTATCGCTGGAGGGCATCCAGAGGAAATATACAAGAATGAACCCAAGATGCAGTGCTTGTCATATGAGGAATGGTTCAGGACTCTCGGTCTGTACTCGTTGGAGTTTAAAAGGATGAGGGGACATCTGATTGAAACATACAGAATACTGAGGGGCCTGGATAAAGTGGACATGCAGAAAATTTTCCATTAGGAAGAGACACTAGGGCTCGAGGGAACAGCCTCAAAGCGAAGGGACGACCCTGTAGAACCGAGATGAGGAGGAATTTATTCAGCCAGAAGGTGGTTAATCTGTGGAACTCATCACCACAAAAGGACTGTCGAGACCACGTCATTGTGTCCTTAAGACAGAGATAGATTGGTTTTTGATTAGTAAGGGGATCAAGAGTTACAGGGAGAAGGCAGGAGAATGGAGTTGAGAAACACGTCACGATTGAATGGCAGTGCAGACTTGATGGGCTGAATGGTCTAATTCTGCTCCTACACTTTATGGTCTTCGGGCATTCATCCACAGCTTTCTTTATATCACTAAAGATAACAGTTACCAATATCAAAAATCTGTATTTGTTTGTTAAAACACGTAGCTATCCAAAATTCAACTCATCTTAATATCAACTCACAGTTCCACCGAGGAGAAAAATAGAAAAATAAGTGTCTTTACAGTGCCCTATTCCTGCTTTCTCCCTCATACACTTTGATCTTTTTAGCCCCCAGAACCATATCTAACTCCTCGAAAACATCCAATGTTTGGCCTCAACCACTTTCTGTGGCAGAGAATTCCAAAGGCTCACCACTCTCTCAGTGAAGAAAGTTCTCTTCATCTCCAATTTGCCCATATTCGTAGACTGTAATCCCTGGTTCTGGGCTCACCACCAATGGGAACATCCTTCCTGCATCTCCGCTGACTAGTCCTGTTAGAATTTTATAGGTTTCTATGAGATTCCCTGTCAGTCATTCTTCTAAACTCCAGTGAATATAGTCCTTACTGATCCAGTCTCTCTTCATTCATAAGTTCTGCCATCTCAGGAATCAGTCTGGTAAACATTTGTTGCATTCCCTCCAAAGTCAGGATAACCTTCCTCAGAAAAGGAGACCAGAACAGCATACAATATTCCAGGTGTGGTCTCACCAAGGCGCTGCGCAACTGCAGCAAGGTCAAAAATCACACAGCACCAGGTTATAATCCAATATGTTTATGTGAAAACACAAGCTTTCGGAGCCTTGCTCCTTCTTCACCATATAACTTTGCCCATTGCTGTTCAGGTAAAGAAGGAGCAAGGATCCGAAAGCTTGTGTTTCCAAATAAACCCGTCAAACTATAACCTGGTGTCGTGTGATCTCTGACCTTGTCTATCCCAGTCCAACATCGGCACCTCCACATCAATTGCAGCAAGACATCCCTTCTCCTGTACCTGAATCCTCTCGCAATGAAGGCTAACATAGCATTTATCTTCACCCCGCCTGCTGCGCCTACATGCTTACGTTCAGTGGTTGGTATACAAGGACACTCAGGTCTCATTGCACCTCCCATTTTCCAACGTATAACAATTCAGTTAATAATCTGCCTTCCTGTTTTTGCTCCCAAAGTGGATAACCTCACATTTACCCACATTATACTGCATCAGCCGTGCAATGAAGTGCAGGAGGTATATGTGATATTGAAGTGCGAATTGGTGATGGTGGGTATCTGGAACTCACCGTCTAAAAGGGTGTTAGATGTGCAAAAACCTCACGATATTTACAAAGTATTTAGATGATCACTTGAAGTGCCATAGCAGACGAGACTACAGGCAAAGTGCTGGAAACTGGGTTGAGAGTAGTTAGATGGTGCTGTGGTAATGTCACTGGGTGACCGACACAGAAACACAGACTAACACTGTGGGGAGGTGAGTTCAAATCCCATCATGGTACATGGTGAAAGTTGAATTCAATAAAAATCTGGAATAAAAAAACTGGTCGAATGAAAACCATATAACCCTTGCCCCTTGCTGTTAAAAACTCACCAGGTTGACCAAAGTTCTTTAAGGAAGAAAATCTGTCATCCTTACCTGGTCTGGCCTACACGTGACTCCAGACCCACAGCAGTGTGGTTGAGTCTTAACTGCCCTCTGGGCAATTAGGGATGAGCAACAATTGCTAGCCTAGCCGGTGACACCCACATCCCAAATTAAAACAAATATCCCTGGAGAGCTGTGTGGACATGATGGGCCAAAGGGCTTCTTTCCATACTCTGATACTAAGGTGAGAATTTTAAAACTCAGGTGCTTTTGAAGTGGAAATCAACATGGGTCAGTGAACAGAGGGTGTAAAGGAGAATTCAACATGGGCACCAGGAGTTAGTGAAACCTTAATGAAAGAAACAGCAACACAAAATGCACTGCATTAGTCACTGCATCTGTCCTGTCGATTTCTAAAGTGCAGATGTGCAGTTGAGTCAGCAATTGTTAATGGTCCCTCAGGATTCTTGGTGTTATTTATTGATCAACGTTTTCAATGATTAGAGGGATTGACTCCCTGGTCACACAGGCAGAAGTGGAAGCCCTCAGCCAGAGAAAAATGCAACAGGGCTGTACATGCCTGTAGCAGCTCTTCAAAGGGGCACCTTTACTTAGTGCCAATCCGCTGCTCTTTCCCCCATACCCTTGCACACTATTTCTAACCAATAATCATC